TTGCCTTGGCTACTTGGATCAAAACAGCCCCCACTCTGAATTAATTCCCAAGCAACTGGTAGCTGTCTGGCGTTGCAAGCTTCCACAGGGCAACTGTCACTTACTTCTCCACTGTCAGAGCAGGTCTCAAGTCTCATTCTGTGCTTCATGGCTAGGGAAAGCAATTTGTAAACTTCCATGAAAGTGGCTTTATGCATGCGAAAGTTTTGCAGCCACTGCTAATCGTCCCATACCTGCATAACAACGTGGTCCCACCAGTCTATGTTTGTCTGACGGCACAAGAAACAGCATTCCACTGCATCAATAAGAACAAATGCTGGCAGCATTTGCAAGTTGCTCAATTCAAGTGCTTTACAGAAGAGTATGTTCATGGCCTCCTGAAATTCTTCCTCATTACAGCGGGCTCTGGATATACCCAGGAGCGGCCCAAGGCCGGCTGAAGCAGCTGGCTCCCTAGACGGGGGCCTGCACGGCCGTCAATGGTCATGACGTCATCATGGGGCACCCCCAGTGCCCCATGACGTCATCATCGGGCGCCCAGGGCAGCGGCGCCCTAGGCAACTGCCTATCACGCCTAGGCTCACGGGCCACCCCTGGATATACTCCAGCATTAGGCGCACCAAGGTTAATATAATCATCATCATGCTTTGATGCTCAACGGGATCCACGCTTGCACTGCTATGGCATCTATGCAAATAACCAAGTGAAAAAAGGATGTGAAAAGACTGTTTGCTGTTGGTTTTAAGTGTGTGTGTGGGGGCGGGGGGAGGAGAGAAAGAAATGAGTGCATTATGGGACACTGATGACATGCACCCAGAACCATCCACTGCACAGTTTTGGTCCCAGTGTCCACTGGAAACATAATATAGAATGCAAAGGGTCACAGACACTGTGGGATAGCTACTCACAGTGCATCACTCTCAAAGTCAACAGTAGCCACCAGTGTTCCCTCTAAGTGCACCTGCGCAGGCGCGCACCAAAAATTTGAGGCCAGCCCACCTTGTCAGCAGAGCCACACAGTGGCTGCTCAGCTACTCCAGGGAGGGGCTGTACGGTAGTTGGCTGCCCTGCCCCAGAAGCAGCAGGACAGCCACCACCTGGCCCTGACCCTAGCTTCAGCCCTGCCTCAGGGCTAGAGCTGCAGGCTGCGTGACAGGTGGTGCCAGCCACTGCCAGAGCTGAGCTCCATCGTGGGCAGCAGCTCCTCCTCCTGCAGCCCCAGACGAAAAAGCTGTGGACAGCAGCAGAGCATTGGCAATGGCAGAACATAAGAGCCAGAGCTATGGGGCAATGCAGGATCACCTCCTTCAAAACTGTCCTGGTCTTCCTCAACCTCATCTTCTGGGTGAGTCAACAGGCAGGTGAGGCCCAGGCTGGCAAGCTTCTTCTGCGGTGGGTAGAGGGATGCAGTGCCTGCTTGGAGACTGAGACACCTCAAGGGGTCTTGGCTGCAGGAGTGGGGCTCCAAAGACAGGGGGCTAGTGCTGTGCAGCTGGGGATGGGGGTTTCTAGTTGCCCAATCGGGTTAGACAAGGCCAGAATTGCACCCCCACATCTGAACTGTGCTCTGCCCAGGGTACGGGGGCTGCTTGGAGGGTGAGTAATGCTGGTGTTGCCCAGGCTTCCATTGCTTGCACCGCAAGAACTAGATAAATTCAAGAAGGTTAGGTCCATCAACACTTATTAGCCAGGAAGGGTAAGAAAGGTGTCCCTAGCCCTTGTTTGTTAAGGGCTAGAAATGCACAGAGGGATCCCTAAATGATTACCTGCTTCTGTTCACTTGCTCTGGGGCATATGCCTTTGGCCACTGTCAGAAGACAGGATTCTGGGCTAGATGGACCTTTGGTCTGACCCAGTATGCCCGTTCTTATGTAGAGTTATCATTGTATTCATAGATCATATGTTCATCAAAAAGACTAAGTAAAGGAGCAGTGTTTTTTTTATGGCTCAGGGCTCATCTAGACTACGCTAAAGTGTCAAAAGGGCATATGCAAATTCTGTGGGAATTTGCATATCTTCTTCTGATCTCGCTTTCGAAAGCAGAGCATTTTTTGAGGAAAAGCAGCTTTTCAAAAAAGGGAGGGTTGCTGAAAAAAAACGCGTCTTGACTCTGCTTTCGAAAGCGAGATCAGAAGAAGATATGCAAATTCCCACAGAATTTGCACATTCCCTTACAACACTTTAACGTAATCTAGATGAGCCCTCTGTGCTCTGGTATTTGACATTTGTCAGCATTTTCAAGAAATCTGGGTCTATTAATGTCACTGCCCCTCATTTGTTTAAAGTGTGTCTGTCTTGGTTTTGCACTGCAACTTTTCTCAAAGCAATTGCCATAGTCTAATATGATGACATACAATTCATTACTCAAACAAGAAAAAAATAAATTTGCCATCTGGTGTCTGAGCCTCTAGGGTGCACCTGCTTCATATTTTCTAGTTTTCAACTGCAACTGTGAGAACTACAAATACACTTTTTTAAAAAGGTGAAAGCAGACATTGTGATACAAACTCTTGCTTCCAGTGAGGCTTTAAGAAAAGTAATGCAAGTCTTATAATAAAAATCACAAATGGTAGCAAGACTGGAATAGGGGAAATGGACAACACAGCCTGGGTGTCACCATACAAATTAAAAGTGTTCTTTACCAGGGCTAATTGACAATTTCTGAAGGAAAACTGGGCCTTTGACAAAACAAACCTTTTCTATGAAAAATGTTTACGTTCCTTAAAAAACAAAAAACATTTTTTTTACAATTACGATTTTCCCCCACTGACATTTTCAGCATTTTTTGACCAGCTCTACATGAGCAAACTACAGTAGAAGTTTTGTATGTTACTCCCTGCGAATTTTCCCTTACCTCTATTTTTTAAAACTTTAGGAGTGAGTTTTAGTCAGCATGGAATGTGATACAGTTCCTGTTGATGATGAAGGAACATCCAAGAGGAAAGAAAGCAGTACAACATCACAGGAAAGATGTATGAAACAATAATCAGAATCCCTCATATTATAACAGATTCACCATACAGGGACCATGCACCATGGCCCCAGCCCCAGAGTAGCCACACCACAGCCCCAGCTCCAACTCCGGCAGCCACCATCTCTCTAGTCATTGCAAAGTACTATTAACAGTTCATCTGTGGCAGGTCAAGTTCTGCCAACCTTGAGAACAGGAAGGAAACCATTCCTACCACCATTTATTGCTGGTGTTGAGAAGCAGTGCAGCATAGATCTCTAAGAAAAACAGCTTATTCTTCAAACTTTGCAGGTGTGTGGGAGGGCAGGGGGGCTTTTAACCTTATCTGTAACTGATGGCAGGATACAGTACTTTGGCACATAGGGTCAGCTAAAGTTCTGATTTAACAGCTCCTTCTATTATTTGTGACTGGGAAAGGGTTGTTTTAGTATTCTTTCTTCCATAACATTTAATATCCATCTATCTATCTATATCTGGGGTGGGCAATAATTTTTGACCGGTGGGAAGAGGGCAATCCAAGATGTTGGAAAGTGGTCAAGGCTGCTGAACTCTTCCATGATATAAATGGAGGAGATGTGGGGTCTGGGACGGAGGTTGGGGGCAGAAGGGAGCTTGGGGTAAGGGATTGGGATGCAGGAGGGACAATGGAGTCTGGAGAGGGAGTTTTTGTGTGAAAGAAGCAGTTGTGACCTAGGGCAGGGGACTGGAGTGTAGGGTTTGGGATGTGACCTAGGGTAGAATGGGATTGTCACCTGAAGCAGGAGATTGGGGTTCCAGATCTTGGGGCAGGGAGTGGCTGAGGTGCCGGAAATAGGCTGTGGCCAGGAGACTTACCAGCCAGCAGCCAAATCAGCGTGCCTGCCTGCAGAGCTGCCCCTTTCAGTGTGGCCCAAGGAGACTAAGGAGGGATATGATAGAGGTCTATAAAATCATGACTGGTATGGAAGAAGTGAATAAAGAAAAGTTATTTACTTATTCCCGTAATATAAGAACTTGGGTTCACCAAATAAAATTAATTGACAGCAGGTTTAAAACAAACAAAAGGAAGTTTTTCTTCACTCAGCACACAGTCAACATCTGGAACTCCTTGCCAGAGGATGTGGTGAAGGCTAGGGCTTTAACAGGGTTCAAAAAAGAGCTAGATAGATTCATGGGGGTTAGGACCATCAGTGGCTATTAGCCAGGATGGGGAGGAATGGTGTCCCAAGCCTCTGTTTCTCTGGAGGGGAGTGACAGGGGGGGGGTCACATGAGGATTACCTGTTGTGTTCCCTCCTTCTGGGGCACCTGATATTGGCCACTGTTGGCAAAATAGGATGCTGGGCTAGCTGGACCATTGGTCTGATCCAGTAGGGCCATTCTTATGTTCTAATGACACCACAATCTGGGACAATTCCTCAAATTTGTCACCTAAAAAGAATGGCCCAGGTTTGGGAATCTCCCCAATACCCTCAGTCATAAAGAGGGAAGCAAAGAATTCATTTAGCTTCTCTGAAATGACTTTATCATCTTTGAGTGCTCCTTGAGCATCTCGATCATCCAAGGGCCTCACTGGTTGTTTAAGCCAGCTTCCTGCTTTTGATGTACTTAAAAAACATTTTACTATTACTTTTTGAGTTTTTGGCTAGCTGTTCTTCACACTCCTTTTTGGCTTTCCTTATTTTTTTTATACTTCATTTGACAAAGTTTATGCTCCTTTCTATTTTCCTCACTAGGATTTGACTTCCACGTTATAAAAGACATCTTTTTCTCTCTCAGTGCTTCTTTTACTTAGTTGTTAAGCCACGCTGGCACTTTTTTGGTTCTCTTACTGTGTTTTTTAATTTGGGCCTCTATTATGGTGTCTATCATGGAAAGCCTGCTTGCTACTGCTGACACAGAAAAGAATGATTGAGACATGATAGGAAGTGATGGCAGTAGCCATTGCATTATGACTAAAGGATAAGGAGGAAAGAAACAGATGCTGGCTGGAAAAAATATGAGAGAGAGTTAAAGGATACATCATAGGGCAGAAGACAGGTGTTACTTACCTGCAGGAACATAATTTCCCGGAATGTTCTCTAGAAATAAACAAAAACATTTACTGTCATAGCAGTAAGATAATTGATGGAAGAGGAAGTAACTGTCCAATGTGATGGTTACATCCCATTTATTAAGGAGTGAAGTGCCATGTGTTGAGGTCAAACTAGCAAAAATATATTTGCTTAGTAACATGAAAATATTTAAAATATTTTAAAAATATTTACTATTTAATGTGACCTATGCAGTCAAATGCCTCACTGCCATGTATATTGGTCAAACTGGAGAGTCTCCACGGGAAAGAATTAATGGACACAAATCAGATATCCAAAAAGGCAACACACAGAAACCTGTTGGAGAACACTTTAATCTGCCTGGGCACTCATTAATGGATCTCTAAGTTACCGTGCTGTTTCAGGCCAATTCCACAAGCCAAATACACAGGGAAGGGTTGGAACTTAACTTCATTGTATCAGAATGGAATGAACAGGGATATCGTCTGGCTCTCAAACTACCTTCCACATCCTAATGACTTAAGAACAATTAGCACCTCCCTTGGTTGGTTATCAGCCTCTTATAACTACTTGAACAATCTATTCTGTCTTTTTTCTCCTTTTATTTCCTTCCAACCCCGCCCCCCTTATTTATTCTTGGATCTGGACTTTTAATACTCCAGTCATCTAAAGAAGTGGGTTGTGCCCACAAAAGCTCATACCACCAACTACATGTTTTGTTAGTCTTTAAGGGTATGTCTACACTACCGCACTAATTCGAACTAACTTAATTTCAATTAGTTAATTCAAAATAAGATAATTCGAATTAGTGCATCTAGACCTAAAAACTAATTTGAATTAGCGTTTTGCTAATTCGAAATAGCATGTCCACACTGAGTGAACCCTGAACCGAAGTTAAAGCTGGCTGGAACCAGTGCCGGCAGGGCATCAGGTTCGGACTTAGAATGTGGAGCTGCTGCCTCAGGATAGCCGAGGGCTGTGCTTAAAGGGACCCAATCCCCACCCCGGACAGACTGTTCTCAGGGTTCCCCGCTTGCTTGTCTAACTCGATGAGGGACAGCATAGCAGTCCTGTGCCCTTAGAGTGCCCTGAGTGCCCACACTCGGCACATCACAGCACTCGTCCATCAGCCTGGCTGCACTTGCCGCACGCTGCCATCGGGGGGGGGGGCCATT